CTGGAATCGTGAGGAAATTGCCTTTCTGTGCTTGTTCCCCCAGCTGTGAAGCTGAGAGGGGCAGGGACAAAACTTCACGAGTTTCAAGTGCCAAGTCTGGTTTTGAGGTTGGGGTTTGGTTTTGTGTTTAGGGGTCCTGCTGTCTCCCCTGAGGAGATTGTTCAACAACCCAGGCCCATTCAGCCTGGAGGCAGTTCCTTAATGTTCAGCCCAACATTTCTTTCTCAAACTAGTCAGTGAGATCATCTGGTTTTACTTTCTTACAACTCCCCTTCTGAGTACACAGAAAAATTGTAATTACCTCTTCTATAAAGGCTGATAATCCGAAGCTTTTCTAAAGTCACCCTATTTTCCTGGTTGCAGCTGCACCTAAACCATCATTCACTCCCATCTTCCTTGTGTGAACGTCTTCCAAGTGTTGACAGACTGTTGGAGTTGCCAGATAAGCCTTGGCAGTCCAGATCGTGGATGTTTTCTGCCTGAACAGGCCCTCCAGCCCCTGGTTGTTGCCTGTTGCCTTCTGAGCAGCAATCTTTAGCTTTTTTTTTATTTACTTCTTCAGAAACACATTGTTCCAAACACGGCCAGTTGGGGCACATCTTTCAAAGACACAAAACAGGGACAGCAAGCAGACAGTCACCAACGTGTTACATGTGCAAAGATGAAAATTATCTTGGCCTTTCTCTAAGACTCTGCTGTGGCTCTGCCTTCACCCTGAGGGCTTTGCTTCCTCTTCAAAGGCTTCTCTGTGCCGCACGGCTGTGTTTCGGGTGGAGGTAGGGAGCAGCGATCCGCCCCATGCCACAGTCTGTGCTGCAGACAAACAGGTTTTCTCAGGAGGGACAGCAGTCTCTGGCTTTCTCTCAGACTCACTCCCTGTTTACAGAGGTTTTCCTCAGTGAAAGCTGCCCGAGGGTCCCACAGATGTGCTGCTCCTGCCCCACAGTGTCACACCTTGGTCTCTTTGTGCGTTGCTGAGAGCAGGTCACCTGCTCTGCTCTCTCTTTTTGAGAGCATTTTTGCAGGTATGAATTTTGCATCCTCACGTCAGAGGGTGTAGACTGAAATGGTTTATGTTGAATGTGCTCTGTGAGCAACCCGGGCTTACATCATCCTTTCTCTTCACAGGGCAAGTTCACCACAGCCAGCGATGTCTGGGCATTTGGGGTCACCCTCTGGGAGATGTTTGTACTGTGTAAGGAGCAGCCCTACAGCCTCCTCTCCGATGAGCAAGTCATTGAGAACACGGGGGAGTTCTTCCGGAGCCAGGGCAGGCAGGTGAGAAAGCAAATGGGACCTCTCCTTCCTTCACTTGACCTTGTCACATCCCAGGGGCTCTCCCCAGAGCCTTTCTGCTGTCCTTACACCATCCGCAGAAGTCTCTGCTTCTATTACTCATCTTTTCAAGCATGTCCCACGTCTCTTCCCCTTCCTCCAGGCTCATTGCACTGGCTTTCATCTCTTGCACTCCCACTGGAGCAATCTCTTGGCCCTGTCTGCTGCTTCTTCCTTACAAGTCACTTCCATTTCAACCTGCCCTTGGTGCACTGTGCTCCTTGGCTCCTCTGGGCTCTCTACACAATCATTTTGCTCTTTTCCACTAGTGCTTTCTCTGCAAGATGAGGCAGCACTTACTGAGGTGGGGAAGGAGGAGTCATGTTAGTGCCCAGGGTTTAAAAACTTCCTGTAATATCTCCACACGTGCTGAGAAGCCTTTGGCCATCTCCAGTTGCTGAATGGTTTTTCAGTGTCCTTGTCCTCTCACTGCCAGGCAGGACAGTGCTCTCCACTGCTGCTGCCTTCAGTAGATGCCAGTGATGGTGCTAAATGGAGCAGGATGATCCAGCCCCTCAGTACTGTGGGTCACTGTACCCCAAAATAGCAGAGTGCCAGTTGTTTGCTGTTCTCCCAGAATTCACCTTTAGCACTAAACAAGTTAAAGGATTAAGGGGAATTAAATAACATGAGGTTTTATTCACTCTCATATACTAATGCTTTAGTGTAGAGCCTAAAAGGTGCATATTGAAACGAGAGGGGAGAAAAAATTCTGCCAATCTGTGCTTTAGATGAGCTCTAAAAGGTGTTTTTTCTGTTTCTGCTAACAAGCTGTCACGATGCTTAGAAAGCCTCATGGGTTGTCTACGGTGAGTGAAAGTATTTGGATTGTATTGTGGTCAACTTGGTTTTGGTTTGTGCTTTGCTGTCACTTGGAAGACGAATCCCTCCCAAGCGTTCGTGTCTCCTGGGGCACAAAGGACTGTTTTGTGCCCAGCTCATCAACCATGTTGGCAAAGTGTCCGCAGTGCCATTTGAGTTGGCGTCAAAGCTCCATCCAGACTTCACTGCCAGGTTCACGCTTAATGGATCTCAAACATTGCATGATGGCTGTTTTGTAAACCTAGAATGACACTGTCCTTTTGGTCTGAATTCAGTAGAGGTTCAATCCTTTAAAGAAAAAACCCCACTGAAATAGCTGTATTTTTCTTCCTTCCAGATCTATCTCTCCCAGACTCCTCTGTGTCCTAACCCCGTGTTTGACCTGATGCTGAAATGTTGGAGCAGGGATATAAAAGACCGTCCCACTTTTGACATGATTCACCACTTCCTGCTAGAACAAATGGAATCAAACATTTGACTCCAGGAAAAGAGACAAACTGTTGAGAACAGAGTGACTTTGGTGTCTCTTTGCCTGTACCTCACAGGAAGATGGTCAGGCCACCTTGCTCTCCTCCCTTGACTGTTCCGTATTTAAGTTGAGATGTCCATGGCAGCTGCTCATTCTATTGGCCATGGTCTGACACGCAGGACCAGAGGATCTCATTTGGTTGAAAAAAATCATCTCCTCTTCTGAATCATTTCCTGGGAATACTGTGAGAGGGGTTTTATTTGATACCCGTACACCTTTGGGCGAAACGATGGAGTTAAACTTTACGAGGGACGTGGAGCTCTCTCCTGGGTGGAACAGGAAGCTACCGGTCGGTGAGAGCGCTACCGCTCGAGAACAGATCTCTGGAAGTAAAGACTTCATTCTTCTAAAACTATTCCATTAAATCAAATGGAAGTCGTGTGCACATTAGCAAGTGTTTCTGGATGCTCTTGCTGCAGACAGTGTCTGGTGAGCGACTAGAAATGTCTAGAGCTAGCGAATGGGTGGACGGACTTGAGGGCTGACGGAGCTGGATTTAGCAACCCTTTGGAAGTGATGCTGCCGGGGGCTACGGAGGATGCGGATACAAGAGCCCAAGATCGTGTTCTTTATTCCTGTGGTTGTTAAGCACTGCTTTTGTTGTATATGTGCGTTTTCCCCACACTGGATTTTTTTTTTATTTCTAGAAAAAAAAGATTTTTAAAATGAATGTTAAAAGGCCACAGGAAGGTCGCTACGGTAGAAGATCTTCTTTTGGCCTACAGATTAAGGCTAGGGTAGGGAGTTTGTATCGAAAAGTAGCTGATACTGTACTACTGTCACTATGTAGATTTATTAGCCTAATGAACTTGTAGCCACAATGGACTGATGTGCAATTAATCCTGTATAAGTACCCATTAATATGAGATCTCTAAGTCAATGCTGTTACCTGTGCAGAGGGAACTTAGATTTGGTGAAACCGAAATGGCTGAGAGCGGAACCCGCGGTGTCGCTTGTCACAGCTCAGCGAGAGGAAAAGGAGCAGGGTACGGGTGGGCCCGGCACACGAGTGCTCAGATTTGTGTGTCTGGTGTCAGCGGTTCCTCTCCAGGGCTGCAGCAGGGCCAGTGCTGTCAGCCAGGCAGATGCACTACAGCCCAGGCTCCTTCATTGCCATGATCAGATCACAGAATCCCAGAACGTTAGGGA